AGGTCAGGTCAAGGTCAGGTCAAGGTCAGGTCAAGGTCAGGTCAAGGTCAGGTCAAGGTCAGGGCAAGGTCAGGTCAAGGTCAGGTCAAGGTCAGGTCAAATTAGGTCAAATTTCAAAGTTGATATTTTTGCATAAAATGGGTATTGATTCGATGCAGCTCGTCACGGGGAGTTCAATGGTGGTCTTTGTTTTGCCCTACGTGGTCTAGAATCGCTAAAAATTGAGTTAAAAAATTTAACGTCATCATTTTGAACAATTTGTTCGCTATAACATGGCCAAAAAACGAGATATCGATCTAAAATTTGGTATGTATATAGAAGAGCGCAGGGACTATCACATATATTCTGTTTTTTGTTTTTCAAAATTCGGTAGTTTTGTTGGATGGTTTGAGTTTTTCTAAAAAAATCAATTTTTTGAATTTTGGGGGTCAAAAATGCAAAATTTTGAAATAAGATAGCAGTTTTGTAGCGCCGCTTTTTGTCTACTACACCATATTAAGAACTTTGAAATTGCTTGGTAACTGTAGATTTGGTGAGCGTTTCAAGATTGCATGTTTTTTGCTCATTTTTGCTCGAACATGACCTCAGTTTGACCTCAATAACTCCTGACCTAAAGTGACCTAAGACTTGAAATTTGGTATAAAGGTGTCAAATTGATGCCCGGGAAGGTACTGAAAATTTGGCGGCGCTGCGCGTTGCCGTTTTCTTGATATGCAGGAAAAACCACAAGGGCGAGAGTTAAGTGTGAAGACGCAAGTACGATATTTAGTAATTGGTATCTTATTTTTATACAATTTTGAGTCATGTGGAATACGGTCATGTCATAGGCCTCTGTTCTGTCAGTTCGTCATCGTCCGTATTATCTTTATTTGCTTATTTACTCATGCATCTTCTTGTGCATGCATCTCCAAACATTACAACCGGCTGAATCACATTGATAAATGTTCAGTATTAGAGCACTTTGCATGGCTTTGATTTGTAAATCGTCTTGAATCGGACCTGTTAAATCGTTGTTAGTTTACATTGCAAATTTACATGAATAAGTAGTTCCCTAATCAAGAACGCTGCAAAGCATGCTGAATCTGATTGCTGATCTATGCTGAATAATGTTTGACGTCGTATCTCCAAATTGCATTTAAATATTGACGAAGCGCCACAACAACAGCAGACAATTCCAAGATCTCTCAATATATAGTTTCAAGGACGCGGTGGCAGAAGTGAAACCCGGCATCGTTTTCAGATGCGATCATCGTGCTATATACAACGGGCCTCGGCTGGAGATCGGCGTGAAACCGCCTGGGGCAAAATCTCAGCTGGTAAGGTGGGCTGGTTGGGGTGGTCTGTTGTGTTGGATAGTGGCTATACCGTATAGATAACTTTGAAGTTTGAGGCTCTGGTGTCCTACTTATTCATCACTACCTACTATAACTGCAGTTAAAAAGTGCAAGGCAAGTGGTGCACTTTGTAAGAACTGAAGTTTTTTTTTGTCAGCCAACCGATAACCATTGGTCGTAAAATGAGAGCGCAATGACTGCCAGGGATCATCGCGATAATTTGGGCGTTCCACGGCGACATGCGTTTGATGCAGTAGCGGGACATGGAACTGTGGTAAATGGTGATCACCGACACTTCGTGTGAAAGAGCCAAAACGCGTCGTCATTCTGTAAGGGCAGTCGTAGTTGTCTGTTTGGAACAGTGTCGCTGAATGACCAGTGAAATGTCAGCAACCAAGGTGGCCGACTGATGGTAGATGACCAATCACTGCAAAGATCACCAGATGTAGTGACGAAGTGACATCCCCGACAGAACGTGTGACATATTTGAGCGACGAAATGACGTTACTTAGTGACCCTGAGTGACGCCAATGTCTGATGGACCGGTTGAGACTGATGTCGGAAAGTGGCCCTATGTTTTGAATGAAATGATAAGCGCATTCATGGCCATTTAGGAAGATAAAAATTCATTTACGTCCCTCAATGGTGTGCCACCGGTCTGAGGACACTCTTTTTCCATACAATACCACAGCGTGCCATGCACTGAAGCTGTGTTATTTACAATTTGCATGAAAAAACACAAAAACACTGACCATTTGCACACTACCTAAGTTTCCTGCTAATTAGCGGAGGAGTTACGGGGTGCCAACATGAGCGGCCAGCTCCGGACACTGGCAAATGAAATAGACTACTTAGTAGTTCCTTTACAGCGACATTGTGCATATGTACAGAAAAGGACAGACAGGACGGGACTGGGGCAGGACGGGACTGGGACAGGACGGGACTGGGACAGGACGGGACTGGGACAGGACGGGACTGGGACAGGACGGGACTGGGACAGGACGGCGCTTATAGCGTGACATCCACCCGAAGGGGAGGGGTGGTGAACGGCAGTGCAGTTCTGCGGGACACTGTAGTTGGCGTGAGCGAGGCCGCCGCAGTGTCTATTGATACCGCCTCCTCGTGACAGTGACACCGTTCCCCGTACAGACCGCTGTCCGAATCGAAACAAATATTTCCTGGACGGCTCGACATCGTACCAGGTAAATAGAGATGTTCTGTCATTTTTATTGCTGCGTTGCTAGCCGCCGTGTATCGTTCTTCCCTGTATAGTTGTACGTCTTTCCTTCCTGAAGAAGTGGCGAAGAGTGTCACCGATTGCAGTGCTGAACTAGAGTGTCAAATAATGATGCATTATTGATTAAGTCATAATTCCGTTAATTAGTGATTGTTCCCAGCTGTCGGAGCAATCTATCAGTCACCGAAGTTGGAAAAGTCACTATTGGCTAATTTCGGAGGGTGGATTGACCGCCATGCTGTCTGACGTTGGTGGATGATGCTCTTTCGCCGACATGCCTATAACAAAGAATCGTTTGTGGCTAGAGGGACATCCAGTGCTGGTCAGAACTCCGGTGACGTGTTTTATCACTTATTCCCGAGGATAATGGTCTAGTCACATCCGTGAGTGCTGCATCAGAGCACTGTAGCGGGACTGACGCTCTGACGCCCCTGGACTGACGCAACTGATGCCGCCGTCCGTTCCGGTAGTCAAGTGGCTTCTCTCCGTACTGACTTGTGGGCAACAGCCACACAGCATGCAGGGATATCCGTGACGTCATCAGTGGGACTGACCGCGAGTGTATGAAAGAAGATGAAAAGTTCGATGCTATCTACCATACAATACAATTATGCAGTATATGCCATTACTCTAGCATGTTATACTATCATTATTGTTGAAAAATTGCCGCTCATGACCTAACATGACCGAAGCGGTAGGAAGTTGAATATTGAACGCAATCCAAAATAGGAAAAATAGAATTGAAAATTAGAAATTGTTTAGTATAAGGAGGTGACGAATGAAGATACCGAAGTAAGCATGAACAAGCTGTGTTGACTGTTGATGCCTCAAATTCTTATTTTTGCTATCATTTAAGGACGACGTCATGATAGCATACTGGCCGACCTAGTTTTCCGGGTAAACATTTTAACGTCGGCTCTACTTTTCTTCACATCACGCCACATAGTTCATCATCACGCAATTGTGCAGTAGAGCCTGGTGATATTTCGATTTTGTAGGCCTTTCGTGTCATGGTGCTTAACATGCGCCTGCAACGAGGCACATTCCTGTAGTTATCTTTTAGGCAATAAAAAGTAATCACTAAAGGGCATTATTGTTTAAAATGAACGTCTAAATGATGACAAAAGCAAAAATGTAATTCAGAGTGTGTGATATTAAGAATGTAAAGTAAACATCAATACTCATTGTTCATCAAGCGCACCTACCTATTATAGTTATACCTATACTTTTGACCCGCGCCTCTAACAATTGGCGCCCCCGTGCACGAAGAGCATATGATAAATAAAACAGCTCGATCACCGATGATGGGGATGTTTCCGCTGGCCTCGTGTCCGAATAGCTAGCGGCAAAACAGCTAGTGCCATTTAAGCTAGTACGTTTGAGCTAGTGCTACAAAAGAGCTAGTGATCTAAAAGCTATTGTTAAAATAGCTAGTAACTTATAAGAGGTAGTCCCAAGGAGAGCTAGTGGTACAAAGAGTTAGAGCACATTTTCTCACAGAAGACATCATAGGCAGGCAGGAGTTTCTTCGCGGAGTTGGATACAACATTTCGATGAACTTTTGAAATCCGAACGTTTGAAATCTGAATAAAATCTGAGTCGTGTGTTTCTGTCTTTTTTAGTATTACGGCCTTTTTAGTGACCGATCTGATCTGAACTGAACTTTGCTTATAAAATCCCGAAGAGGTGCAGTGTGAGCCGATCTACTAGCCCTTTACAACACTAGTCATTTTGCTCCTAGCTGTTTTGTAGGACTAGTTACAATCGCACTAGCTATTTTGTGGCACTAGCCCAAATGAGCTAGCTCAAACAACACTAGCTCTTTTGTGGGTATGTATAAACATAAACAATCTTTTTTTTTCAAAAACGAAAAATAATATTGAATTTATGCTACCGCATAAGTCGTTTTTTGTTTGTGTTCATTATCAGTTTGCATTTCGTTTTTATTCATCTCATTCATTTTTTAGTATCCTCAAGGTTCGGCTAGCAAGACTGAACCTTGAAAGGAAAAAAAATGATGTACGAAGCAAATGCATGAACTTAGCGAATTGAAGAATGCGAGTGTGAGCACGGATTATTCGAAACGATGGAACATCATCACATCCATGAAACTCATGTCTCAGTGCGTGATCAAATCGCCCAGAAGCACTCATGTTCCATGCTCTAGTAGACGACGGTGTTCCCGGCCTGTCTGATATCCATGAATCTCTGCGTCATATAGCTAGTGCTGTAGCTTTGGTTATTGCTCTTTTAGTGAGCGCTTAAGTCTAGTGGCCGGTCCCGGTGTTAAGAGTAAATACTCGTCAGTCCCCACGCTGAAGTAACTACCGTGGTCCGTAATGCAGCCCTGGGAGAGGGCGGGACCGTCGCTCGGCGCCGGCCCGGCGGCGCTGCGGACCGCGGCCGGTCGGCGGCTCGCGTGCGGACTCCAGTGCCGATCCGGCTGTCCGTGGGGGAGGGTTGTGCATGTGACGGACCGGTGAGTTTCGCGACTCGAGGGACTGGTGATTGCGCAGTGAAGGATCAGAGGCCTAGGAGAGAACTCTGCTCGTACGGACTTTGGTGTTGTTATTTGCAACGTAGTAGAGAGACGTTTTTAGTTAAGAATCGTCTTGAGAACACAAGTTTGTCATCTACAAGGAGCCTCATCAGGTGGGTTTTTGGCGCCTATGCCTGTTGCAGAAATGCTGCGGCATGTAATTATATCTCGTTGTTTATAATGTAGTGCATGATTTAAGTATTGCCCCCCCCAAAAAAAAACTCATCTTGCATAAATTTGCATGCCAGTTGCTCATAAACTTCTATGCTGCAAACCATGGCATATACGGAGGTCTATGGAATGATGGACGGAGAAGATAACGTTATTTGAGTTTGTGGTCAACGTTGTTATCAACGGTGCATTATCAAATATATGTTTGCTGTTGGTTAAGTGTTAGTCATTCATATGCACTATGCATGTGCTGCTACTTTTGATAAAGCTGGTGAAATTACAACTCATATCTGCGTAATGTCTTCCACGATTAATGTGCTGCAACTCGTTGGTCGTAACAATAAATAAATAAACTTGCACCTAATTAAGTAAAGCGCACGAGCCCATACTTAAATGTCAGCGTTTCATAAAATGGCGAAATTCTATTGCATCTTTGCAGTCTGTGCTATTCAATGTCGCCGACCTATTCAGCTCTGGTCCGTGCCCAGAGCTAGTGGGCGGGGTCTGCCGCTATCTTGCACAAGCCGGGCTTGCCCTGGCGCCGATAGGGGCGACCCACGGGAGCTGGGGAGGGATGGGGGAGGACTCAGCGCCACCCTGTCTGTATCTGCTTCCCTGATCCCCTGCTGAGCCGAGAGGAGGGGCCGAGTTTCAAGTATTATGACGGGACAGCAATCTTCTGCAGGCACGTGAGCCGTGATAGACAATCTCCTACGATATAAGGATGGATGCACCGTGATTGTGCCAATCAACGACCATGGCATGAAGGTGATCCGACAGAGCAACCTATCGACACGAGTCATGTGCATTATGCACTTTAAGTGCATGATGTGTCTAAAATTCCGAAAATATGATGCATGGATAACTGCAATATGGTATCGCTAGGTTATTTGATACTGTCAATGACGCATTATTCACAGACTCGATGATCACATGGCCCTTATGATACAGGACCATATGATAAGTGTGCCTTTAAATGTCCTTTGTAGAGACTGCTTTGCGGTTCTGCTCCGAACGTTAGAAGATTTATATGTGCAATTGTCTACCTCATTAATTATGGACACATTTGTCACTTATGTAATGGACTGGTGGTTATCGCAATTGAAGCGCAGTGATCCATCAAGCAGCGCTATCAATCTTGATGAACCCGGAGAAATTGAATGTTACGCAAGATACTCTTGCATGTGCAACAGCTCGTATTGAAATTCACAAAAATATAATTGCTAAGAAGTGTAGTAGTAGTACCTCTAATGGGTTCCGTTTCTCAACAATCGCGTGTCTTCTCCAAAGTGGCAGTATGTTCTATGATTGTGGGGGATTTTATCTGTGCTCGGCACACCACAATGGTCCGCAAGCCAGCACAATGGCCGCTGGAATTCCAAAAGTACATCCGCGATAGAAGTGCCCGATAGAAGTGCGATAGAAGTGCACCCGCCCGGATCGTGCAGTGATGAGAAACAGGTCTCAGCATATGATCTCCTCTACGAAAATCCTCTCCATTCAATTTATTTCGTTTTAAAATCTAATTTGAGTCTCGTTCCTATTCAGCATGGATTACAAAATGCATGCCCGCGGAAATAATGAAACATCGCTACCCATTGCCTTACCGCGGCAAATTCTGTCCGTTCCACTGTCCCTTCTGCGCAGATGGGTCTCCTCTCTATATACATTATGCAGTCCATCCCACCCCGCCCATGGACAGATGGGTTTCCCGTCAGTCCCACCTCCTCCATTGCTTGGTAGACGGGTCCTCTGCCCACCAGTTAAAGCTGATCACGTCGCCTCGGATGGGGTCAAACTGATCGGCGCTGGCGTCTGTCTGGGAGCCGCTACACAATGCATACGCCGGTCCGGAGAGGCTGCTGAATACGGTGCGTCCTCACTAACCAACGGAATCCCGCGACCCGTGCCACCCGCGCCGTGCCAGCCCACACCGAGCCAACCTTTCTGGGAGCCAGTGGCCGCGCGCGCTGACACAATCCATTATTGATGACAATAAATCACCGCGATCGGGCGATCTTGCGCCGACGGCAATCGGTGACAATATGCACGTGGAACGCTCCCGATTTGGCCACATATATGCTGCAGCAGCTTCGCGCGATGTGTGCTTCTACATGGAACCGGCTCCGGTGGTTTTGTCGAACACTGGATGGGTTTTATGCTTCGTCGAAGGTTATCGTTTTTTTTTTTTTGGTATTCAGAGTATGATGTCCCAATGGTTTTCCGGGCACCCCCAATGGTTTTGTCCCTCAATAACTCTGCTTGAGGAAAATAATTGTTCTGCAGTAGTTCACTACTAAAACTAAAACAATTACGCAATTTACAAGGCATGAAATAAAGATGTAAAGAAAAGAAAATTTAGATTTAAGAAGAAGGGCGAAAAAAAAAACGTTAAGTTGCAAAGATGGTGTGGGTCCGTCGTACACGGGTGTCGGACCCTTAGAGCTGCTGGCGCGTACCCTTTACAAGCCGGCAGGGGGCTCCAGAGACCGGCGACGGGCCCTCAGAGGCCGGCAAAGGGTCATCAGAGGCCGGTGGTATGTACCTTCAGAAACCCTGTGGGGTCATCTTTAGAGACCGGAACGGGCTCAGGCGCTGATGGGGCCCTCAGAGTCGCCGGTGTGGGGCCTTCAAATGTCACCGGTGGCAGGGTGGCCGTCACATGCGCACTTGTGGGGCCTTCAGAAGCTACGATGTTGGGCCCTCAGAGCCGCCGATATAGGGCCTTAAGAGGCACTAGTGTGGGGCCCTCAGATATGGCAATGTGGGGCCCTCGGACTGGAGGCGCCGGTGTGGGGGCTCTCAGAGACACTGGTTTAGGGCCATCACAGGCGCGCGTTGGGCCCTCAGAACTGCTGTTACGGAACGGATCCTTCATAGGCCGACAAGAAGATATCAAGAGGTCACCGGTGCCTTCAGGAGCCTTGTGGGGTTCTCAGAGACTGGCATGGTGCGCTCAGACGCCGCTGGGACCCTCCGTGTCACCTGTGTGGGGCCGTCAGGGTCGCTGGTAACTGTCAAGGGCCCTCAGAACCGCCCATGTAGGGTTTTTAAAGGCATTGGTATAGGGCCTCAGAGTTAGGGGTGTGGGGCCCTCAGAGACGCCGGTGTGGCGCTCAGGGGCGCCGGTGAGGGCCCTCACAGTCGCCGTTATAGGGGCCCTCAGAGAAATGGGTGTGGGGCCATTACAGGCGGGTGTGCAGCTCCTAGAGCTGGCCCCCTAGAGGCCGGTTAAGACCCCCAGAGGCCGGCAAGTGGCCCTCAGAGGCTGGCTTGGGGCCCTTATGGAGATCTTAACCCTTGCATGTGTAGGGGGGGAGGTCGGATGGACCCCCCCCATGGTTTTTCGCGAATAACTCGCGAAAAAAGCGGCCGATCGCGACGAAACTTTCAGTACCCTCTCATTGATCAATTTTACACCTACCCTGAAAATTTCATGACCCTGACCCAAATGACCTTTGACCTGTGACCTCTTTTCTGAGACCATGTTTGGCCGGAATCGCGATTTCGCGTATGTCGGCTCGCACTAGCCGCGTGTTTGCAAGCTTTTCGTGGTTTCAAACGTTCAAACATGTGATTTGATGTTACTCCCGTGTGTGTCAAGGTCACCTGAAGGTCAGGTCAGGTCATTGACCTTTGGTGACCTCGGGTGACCTCGGGTCACTTTTTCGAGTTTTACATGTTTCTAGGCTAGTTTTTGGAGCTGAATTCGAATTTAGCAACCATTTGAACATTTACGAAGTAGTTTTGGTGACTTCGTAACATGTTACGAAGCTGTCAGAGGCGGTTGACACGTACTACGAATACCCGTCACGACGCCTTCTGGTTGACCTGACCTGACCTGAACCGACCTGGTCTAAATGCTTCAAGACATCATCTGTGATCAAAACTAACACGATATTCGTGATCAGCACCCCGAAAAACCCCTTAGCGGCCACACTTTACGACTTTCTAACAGGTCCCGATTTTCCCGACTTTGGGTCATTGACCTGACCTGGAAGGTCAACCAATGACCTAGGACCTTAAAATTGGGTATCATCGGCTTCCTCTCGTCACGGGCAACACGCTCGTTTTTTCCGCGAAGCTCTAGCTCGATCAGGGGCCAAACGGCAAGGGGGGGGTCCAACCGACCCCCCCCCCCCTACACATTAGAAGCTGGCAAACGCCGCACACATGCGAGGGTTAATGTTAGTACTTTTGGGCCCATGAGGTGTTCTTACGAGCCCTGTGGGGCCCTTCTGAGTCCAAATATAGCCAACGTGGACCCTCAGTGGCCAATTGGCACCGCAGTGCCCCTCAGGCCCGAATAATCCGATGGGCCCCTGATCCTGATGGGGCGGGGGGGGGGGGGGGGCTCACGGGCCCACCTGGGTACGCCACTGAGGAAAATCGTAAACCCATAAATATCGAATTGCAATCACCTGTTATTTTTTTCAGCGATTATTGTGATCGTCTGATAAACGCCAGAGCCTCGTAGCTATACCGTTGCCTCCCGCGCAATGTCCGCCCCTGCGGACCGCAGGGGCTGCTGCACCGGTGCTAATCGCGGTCATCGGTTTCTATCACCTTATTACAGAGGTGTCGGGGCTGCTGCCGAGCTGCCGGCAAATGTACGCGTTTTTTTCGGAAAGATGTTTAGGTATGTAATGAGGTAGCCAAGTACTAGGACGAGCAGAATGATTTTGAAGAACGTTCAACCTTTGGGAAATATTAGTGGAAATCCCGGGATTATCAGTACCTTATGGGGATACACAACCATGCCTTGTAGGTACGGTTGTGCCCCATGGCAAAGCTACAATCTTTCACCCGGTGCAGGGGTTGAGCACCCCCAACCATTTTGAAAAATCGACACCCCTGATGTGAACGGTTATCTCCCAATTAAAAGAGTCCTCGTGCGTCACTGTGGCCAGCTGGCTTGACCACTGCTGACGTCACATGTATG